GTATCAAGGAGATGAAGTGGTGCAGGAATGGGCCCAAACATAGCAATTGTGAAGCTGACACGGGAGTCACGGTTCATTCTGCTGTACACAGAGTGGCTGTAATTTGGAACCAACTCATAGCACCTAACGGAGACATTATTGTTATTCACAAACCAATACACTTGTTTTAATTTACTTAAAACTTACTTAAAAAACAATTTTTATGAATTTATCTCCTCTACTGTCCCTCACTCCCAAGGTGTTAGCTCCTAGTAGATAAGAACTATGTTTCTCCTTTTGCCATTCCTAGAACTTAGCATTATGTCCAGCACATAGCAAGTGTCTCATGAAGCCTCAGTAAATGAATGCCTGGGCATTGGCATGAAATCTGAGATTGAAGAGTGGCACTGGGACGCTGACTGTGGGCGGTAGAACCTGGGAGTCGATTCAAGCTTCCAAGGTGTGATGAGGCAGAGATTTCAAACTGATTTCTTGAGCTGATTCATCAGTAACACACGGAAGAGACCAGCAAGATGGCAATTTATTTGACAAAGATGTTTCAGAACCTTAAAAGTTCCAATCGTGTACCTTGAACAAGCTCACTGTAGACAAAAGGCAATGGCTTTTGACAGAAGGGGGAGTGGTTGTTCCTTGCGACTACTCTTTCTCCATGTCCAGTTCTGGTACAGAAATCAGGTGCAGGTGAGACACTTGAAGACCACCAAAGGTCAGGTCTCAGTCATTTGAACACAAGGATAATGGTCTATAGATCTTTCCATTTAAGCCCTTCCCTTTAGAGCAGTTTCCCAAAGTGGATGATACTGCCCCCTGGGGGTGTGCTGGAAGGATCTAGGGGGTCTACTAAAACAGATGCTTTGTTCTAGTTTATGGGATACGGTACAAAAATTTTATTTTTAATTTAAATTTTAATTGTTGGATGGGAGGGCACTGAGTACATCCCCCCTCCCCCTGAAATTGAGACAGTAAGCTAAAGTAAGTTGGATACTCTCTGTTTTAGAGTATCCAAACACCACAATTGCAAGGGAGAATACGGCTGTAATGTTGATAGCATTTATTTCCAATAATCCACATCCTTTTTTCAAACCCAACTACACTGAAATTAAAGGGAAGTTTACCCGCCTCAGGTACTACGTCCAGGGAAATGCCAGTTCTTAGAGACTAGCCGAGCGGGTTTCAAGAATGTAACTGAGACTCTTCGCCACTGCCTTTTTTGGCTTCAGATTGTGACTCTGAAGGAGACAGGGTCAGAATGACTTTTTTTTTTTTTTTATAAAGTAGACAATGACTACTTTATGATTCAAACGCTAAAAAATGCCTAGTTAGAAATGCCCTTGGTCAATTTGCGGCTAAGTTTATATGTTTCAACAGAACAGAGTTGAGGCAGGAGAAAGAGTTTCCTTCTTTGTGGGTTTTTCAACCTGATACTCATGTCCTTGACTTCCTTGGCCAAAAAAAAAAAAAAAAATCATTGATTTTTGTTCTGAACCAACAGAAAGTTCTTGGAAAAGCAAATTGTTAGCATAATGAGTGTAGTAATTTCTGAGAGGCAAGTTATTTCCCCTGCAAATTAAACTTGGGTGGCTTTAGTGTTGATTTTTTGAACCCAGAAGTTTAGTGCAAAACATTATCATTTTGTTCAAAGGAAATAAGCCCAGAAAAGCAAAGGAACACAGAAATGGTGATATTTACTTTCATTGTTTCTGTGTGTCCATCAAAGCAGCCCTGTGGCACGGCGGCTTCACTGTTGGACTGCTGACAGGTCAGTAGTTCAAACCCACCAGTTCTCCACAGGAGAAAGATAAAGGAATCTGCTTTTGTAAAGATTTATAACCTTGAAAATCCTAGAGAGCAGACCTACCACGTTCTCCTCTGTAGGGCTGCTATGAATTACACTTGATGGCAGTGGATTTTTACGTGGATTTTTGTCCTGTGTGGCTTCCTGGTGGCATAGTGGTTCTGGGTTGGGCTGCTAACTTCAAGGTCAGCAGTTGGAAACTCAGCTATGCTTCAGCAGAAAGATGGGAGTTTGACCTCCTGTAGGGTAGGACAGTCTCAGAAACCCCCAGGGGCAGTTCTACCCGAATAGACCTGAGGGCAGTGGGTTTGGCTTTTCGGTTTTGGTGGTTCCCACAGACTTTCTCACCAATATTATTATGTTTAAACAGGTTTTCAAAATTAATCGAGATGTAAATTTTCTATAGCTATTCATGACTATATAAAGTGTATTTACAATTGATCCCAAATCAACTTCTAAAGTTGGGAGTCTTCTAAAGTTATGCTAAAACTAGGGTCTTTGTCCCCCTCCAGCACTCCTGTCTTTAACTTTTGAATTGGGTGAAGGTTTCCAGAGCAGACTGGCTTCCATTCAACAATTCATGCACACTTTGTTTCTTGTCATAGATTGCAATCCCCACAAAGTAACCTAATCTATCGCACGTCTTCCCTATGTTTCCTTTTTCAAATCCTCCTTACAAATACTTCTAAACTTGGTCCTTGAGTAAAAGCTGCCCATTAGTCTCAAATAGATGATCAATCTAAGGGGTACATCGTTCCCTGGTGTGATCGTTATCCTTAGACTGAGCATTCATCCATGGGGATTATTAAAGGTCACATTCTTGGGGGCTACATTAGACTATCTGAGAAGTAAGCCTAGCCTTTTTTATGAATTTTAGTTTTCTTCAACATTTTTTCTCCCACTTAATCCAGAACTTTTCAGAACAGTTGGTCTTACTAGCTTGGCAGTTGGGGCTTTGTTTTAAGCTTTGAAAACCCCGTGTGTATTTTAGATGGTAATTTTGTTTTCTTTGGCCCTTCTTCGCTAACGGGAATGTCCCAAAGCAGGCAAATGGTGGAGTTCTCACAGAGAGAGCTGGACTGAAGAGGGAAAGATGTGGGAGAGAAAGGTGGGTACAGTAAGGGGAAACACAGGACCAAGAAGGGCCGATGCAGCCCAGAAATAGACAGTAGTTCCAATTCTTACAGGGTGAGGACTCAAGGATGGGCGGTGCCAGGGGAATGATGTCATTTTGATGGAGAGCTGCTTGATGATTCATGTCCTGCATGCCAAAAGGGGCAGCAGTGTAAAGAACTGAAATTTAAATTGGAAGTCTAGTTTATGTTCCAGTCAAACCCTACACTGTCTGTGTGATTTGGGGCAAGTCACCTGACTCTCTTTCTTTTGAGTTTGAATGTTTTCAATTGTGCAATGAGACTAAACCCACCACATAGTGTGCTGTGATAAATGAGGTAATGTATGCAAAATTGTTATCGCTGTTACTATGGTGTGAGTCCATGCTGACTCACACAAGCCCCAAGTGACAGAGTTGATCTCAGGGTTTCCAAGACTAACTCTTAAAAGGAGTCAAAAGCCCATCATTCTCCCACAGAGCAGCTGGTGGTTTTGAACTGCTGACCTTGAGGTTAGAAGCTCAACTCATAACCACTCACCAGAGCTCCTAGATTACTGTTGTCTGTTTTTTCAACCTAAATCTTCTTCTTCAGACCCCTTGACCAAATGGAATGATTACAGTAGAAGAAAACAGTGCAGCTACCCTACTGATCAGGCTACCTTATCTAGTATTTTTTAAAACTACCTACGTCTGTTTGCTCACCAGAAAAATTTATGTCTTTTTCTCTATTTTTTAATGCATTTTCCTTTTTGTTCTTGAGAATATACAAAGCACACAGACACCCATTAAATGGGTTTGACCATTCTCAGCCTCCTTTTATGAATTGTTCTTTCACTATTACCCTAAACTCACTGTCCCCTGAGCTTTTGGTTTGCTGTTGTCAGTTTGATCTCCTACCGAGGTGTGCGTCTTAATTATTTATTAAATGTAAATTCTTATTCACAGAATTTGGAGAACAGAGCTGGAAGGGATTTTCTCTAATGGCCCCCCGTCCCTTGAAGCAGGACTGTGTCAAATGTGAATTCGCCCTGACAGATGGTTGTTAGATTCTATTTCTCAATTTCTTAAAGAAGATGTTACAGTTTTCCCCATTAAATCGCTTCAAGAAGTTAGCCATTCCTGTGCCAAGGTCTTCCTTATAGATGACCTCCATCCGTGTTGGGATTTCAGTCCTCCCTCCCTCCCACTCCATCACTCCTTTCTTTGCTGGAGAGGGAGAGCAGCTGGCCAGCCACGTTCTTCAGATCAGAACCCTGTGTATATTTAAAGGAGAACTATTCACTTCCCCTCTCTCCCCCCACCCCTCCAACTTCTTCAGCTAGCCTGCTCTGAATCACTCATGGCCATGCTACCCTGCTGTCTGCGTCCCACCTGATGTTAGTAGAATGGCTTTTAGGCAGCTTGGGTGCACTGGGATGTTGGTTGTATATGGACTCTAGGAAGTCAGGGCGCTGTTTCCTTTCCTCATGCTTTGTACATTATCTTAGACTTATGATAAATTAGCAGAACAATCCCAAATGACCATTGATGGGTGAGTGAGACTTATCTAAATAATAGAGAGTTTTGCATGGGTATTTATTAAGGGGCGCAAATGGTTTGAGCTCCTTAGTGGACTAACAGGTCGGCAGCTCGAACTCACCCTGCAGCATCTGGGAAGAAAGGTCTATTGATTTGCTTCCACAAATATGACGGCTGAGAAAACTGGGACAATTCTAACATGGGGCTGCTATGAACAAGAATTGACTCAAGGCCAATGTGATTTTGCTTAGAAAGTTAGACCTTCCCAGTGCCTTTGTTCGCTGGGCCAGACATGCCATTAAGCTGCCACCTTCCCTGCTAAAGATAACAGTGATTGCTGTCTCTGCTCCCTTGGTCTTAGGCCTGGAAGACAGCTAAAACTCGAGTGCAGTGCACGTTCTGAAGCATGCTAACAGTCTGAAAGAGTTAATGGACTTCCTTAGCACCCTGCATTGTAAGCAGGAAATAAGTGACTGAACATTGAGAAGAACTGGGCTCATTAAGCTGAACTCATGAGATTTCATAGTTGGTCTCATTTTTAATCTGAACATATGTGCTTTTATGTCGCTATAGGTTTATTACCCAGATCTGTTTGGCTGGATCATGCAAGAAACATTTCCAAACAAGGAAATGGTGGGAAGGCTACACAAGGTAAGATCCTTAGTTCCATTTTGTTAGCACATTTCAAATGAGAGAAAACAGGCTTTTAAATATCAGAGGTATATCTTTGTTATTTCAAGATCCATTATACTCTAAGCCATTGGTTCTCAACCTTCATAATGCCATGACCCTTTCCTCATGTTGTAGTGACCCCCAACCACAAGATTATTTTCACTGCTACTTTGTAACTGTAAGTTTGCTGCTGTCATGAATCGGGTGACCCCCGTCGAGAATCGCTGCTCTAAGCAAGCGCACTGCTGTCGAGTCCGTTCCGAGACGCAGCAGCTCCCTCGGGGCTCCTCAGACTCAAGTCTTCACAGGAGTACACAGCTGCTGGGTTTGAGTCGCTCACCTGGATGTTAGCAGCTGAAGACCCAAGTCCAAATGTCACAGGGCCATGGTCTAATGATGCAGTAATCTCATCATTGATGACCTTCAACATAACAGGTACTTGAGAACATCATATCCTAAAGTCTCGTGATGCTTAAAGTTCACAGTACCTTCATTTCTTGACAGATTGAAAGCATACTTTCTCCGAAGAATTGTGGAATTATTTTATTAAGTCTACATTTTATCAATTTCAAATTTTCTCTATTCCTGATGATTAAACTAAAGGAATTTCTGAAAGTTTACGATGAAGACACTTTTATGTTCAAACCCATCGGCTGCTCTACGGCAGAAAGATGAAGCTGTCTTGTCCCCACAAAGATCGACAGCATCAGGCACACTACATAAGGTCACTATGGTTGGAATCAACTCGTTGGCAGTAGGTTTAGAATAATGTCTGAATGTCTAATAAGATGACTTATGAAACATAACAGTTCCTAAAACTTGCTAAATTTTTTCACCTAATATTTTGGCTTAAAAAAAATCTATAAACACACTTTTATTATTCAGAAATTTTGAGTGCTATTACCTTTAAAAACTGTGCAATTTCTATTTGGGGGTTTAGTCCCATTTCTGGAAAAAAAACACCTAGTTTTTACTATAGATACTTTTGGGCTTTGTCTGCTAGTTGTTGTTGTTAAGTACCATCGATTTGGTTCCAATACATAGCGACCTAGGCCCCTACACCAGAACAAAAGACTGTCCAGTGCCATCGTCACAATTGTTCTTATGTTTGAGCCTCTGGGTACAGTCTTTGATGTTTGTTTCGGTTGCTCACTCACTGTCAAAATGTGAGTAAAATTTTCAGCATATTATATATGTGTCCCTTTTCTAGCAGTTTGCTTCTGGAAACGCTTCTCTTGGTAAAATCGTAAAAAATATAACCTGGATTGAAAGCACATTATTGAGTCAGTGAGAGAGTAATCTACTAATAGTCATCAGCAGGGAGGACCATTCAACCTGCTGAGATCAACAGGAATGGCAGGCAGGAGAACCAGTTTGTGGGACATACTAGACATATATGCCCTTCCTGCTTCACCCAGCCAAGAGCATCCAAGTGCCATGGTCTGGTTGAACGAAAAGAAGAAAAAATTGCCCTCTATTCCGTCTGACCCATGACTACCCATATGAGAAAGTAGAACTGCTCCATAGGGTTTTCTCAGCTGTAATTATTAAGGGAAAAAAATTTGAGAAGAGTACCAGGCCTTTTTCCCCACAGTGCCACTGGGTAGCTTTAAATTGCCAACACTTAGGTGAGTAGACAGGCACAAACCATTTTGCTCCACCCGGAGCCTTCAGTCTAATAAACCTACCAGCCCTCTTCAATTGCATCAATTCCAGCTCATAGAGACCGTCTTTACAGAGCAGAGAGCCTCATCTTTCTCCCATGGAATAGCTGGTAGGTTTGAACTGCCAACCTAGCAGTTAGCAACTCAAAGCCTAATCCACTACACCACTAGGACTCCTTCCTCAGTCTGATAAGGCAAGAGCCATTATGGACTAGATGCTGGAGGAAAATATGACTGCTTTTGCCTGGATTCTTTTAAGTCTGACTTCTGGAGAAAGAAGACACTTTTGTGTCGCTTCTTCTGAATACCTATTCCCCTTGCTGCGGAAGCCGAAAGGTCCTAATACAGGCCTTTGCCCTTTATGTGGGTGTCACCCATACAGAAAACAAATTAAGTGTAGGATGGGCAGGGACTTTGGTTGGTTTCTGTTTTACTTCATGTACCCTCAAAATCTAACGGTGCTCAAGCCATAGTAGGCAGTAGCACATGAATAATAAATGGGCACATGCATGCAGGTTTGGGGCTTTGAAAGAGTGGAGGGAAAAAGCAAAACCAGGCAAGGCGTACCTGAAATATTCTCCTTCCCGGATGCTTGTTTGTTGTTGTCAGGAAGGACCAGTACTGGCTGCCACGGAGTCAACCCTGACTCTGTGTGTCAGGGTATAGCTGTGGGCCACAGGGTTGGTTTATTTTTAAGACTTTTATTGTCACATAATCTAAATATATAATTCGATAGTTCAGTCATATCAAGAAGAGTTGTACTCATCACCACAATCAAATTTTAGAACATTGCCTTCTTTCTGGTCCTCAGTGTTAGGAGCTCCCCTTCCTCCCTAGTCTCCTCTGCCACACCCCCCAAGAAACTCTTAATCTAGTCACTCTCTCTCTAGATTTACCTATCCTGGATTTCATACACAGAAAACCATGCAAACCACCCACCCCTCCAAAAAACCAAAAAACCTAACAACAATAACAGAATAAAACAGAAAAACCCTAATCGAAAAGAAATAAAAAATATTAACTATGAAAACAAATTTTAAATGGATCCAAAGGGGAAGTCAGATGATAAGGTGTTACATTTTCACCCAACTCTATCTGTGATAATCCACTTTCCAGTGCACGCTGCATGAAAAAGCTATTCACATCCCTGGGCCATGGCCAAAGGGGATTCACTGGAAGCTTAATCCATATGTAGTTCTCCTACACTTTTGTTTTTAACTAAATCAATTTTTTTAAATGGGTCAAAAGGAAGATCAAAGGATAAGAAATTACATTTTAACATGGTAATGTATCTGCACTAATGATATCTGCAGATAATGATATCTGCACTAACCCACTGTACAGTGTACATATGTTCCATATGCACACCCATAGGGTTTCCCATGGCTGATTCCTTGGGAATAAATGGCAAGCCTCTTCCCACAATACCGCTGGACGGACTAGACCTCTAGCCTTTTGGTTAGCCACCGAGCATGTTGACCACCGGCACACATATGGACGCCCCGCAACAGACACTGTAAATTACGCAACTCCCACCCAGCTCTTCCTGTCATTGTGTAGCACATTTGTTTCATAGAGGTAAGAGATTAGTGAGAATGAGATTCATCTGTAGAGAGACGAATGTTCCGTTCTGAACAAAAGACTACATTTTTAAGACCAGCCAGGGCTGGTATACGTCCGAATCAACTCAATGACAGTGAATTACAAATTGTAAAGGTGTGGTTATTGAGTGAAATCATATTTATTATCTTTTAATTTCTGTTTCTGACCATTGACAGTCTGGCCATTGACCATTAAGTAAAGGTGAAATTAACAGCTATTGAACTCATTTCTTCAAAACCCCAGTGTGCCGTATTTTTGAGCCTTGCTAGCTGTCAGAGGGGAAACCAAAGCATTATTGTAAAACCTGTAGGATCGCAGTGGATTTCTTTTCACAATCTTGGTATTGCATGCCAACATTTCAAGAGTGAAAGCATTTTTACAGCTGCAAGGTACTGCCCAAGATGACACGTTTGGGGATTTACCTAAATCATTTAGCGTGCTTATAGGTATCTGTACGCCTGCGATGAACTTTTTAGCTTGCATATTTCTGCTTTGGACTCACTGTATTTAATGATATTAGACTCCCTCTAAATCACTATGATATTGGATCATTGAAGTGCCTAGTCAGTAGATTTTAGATACACCCAAAATATGTTGTATTTTCTCCAAGACTGGGACTTTTAAAATACATATTTAGATACACACTGTATTTAATATGGAAACTTTATCAGCAAATATGACTTCTGGTTCTGACCACAGGGCAGGCAGGACCCACATGGACTGGGTCAGTCACTTATAGATAAGCTATATGTAAGATCTCTGTAAATTGTGATATTTTTAAAAATATGTATTTTACTGTATATTAGAACACGGATTACAACCCCACCAACTACACCATCATTCTTGAAGCCAACTTAAATGCTGCTAAGCAGGCAGCTAAGTGTACAACAGCTAATGGACACGTTGGCAGTTTGCTCCGTGAGGGAAAGATCTGGCAGTCTGCTTCCATAAAGATTTCCAGCCTTGGATACCCTAAAGGGCAGTTCCGTGCTGGTGTGTGGTTGCTATGAGTTATAATAGACTCAATAGCAATAGATTTCATCTTGGTTTTTTGTTTGTTTTTTGGGGGGTGGGGTGTGTGTGCAGTGGTGGAGGGAGGCCTAGCGTTCTCATCGAGCTCTCTTAGGGAAAAAAAGACCAAAACATCTACTCGCAGCACTCGGCGCATCTGATGTCAGCCCTCATCTGATAATAGAAACCATGGTCAACATCCCAACTCTGGAGAATGCTGCTTTACACAGGGCTGGGCACACCACCAGGAGCTCTTCATTCTAATAAAGCAAAGGAGGCTAGTTTCTAGTTACCTCCTCTCCCGACAGACCTCGTGTTTGCACTCAGATGGACTGTGTTTAAGCATGTCAACTCTGCTTGTCAAAACACTAAGAATTCAAGGGTGAAAATAGGAGGGAGAAGGAAAGTTAGATAGAAAACAAATCGGAAGCCTACTAACTTTGTCTCTTTCTTGTGTACGTTTGTCCATGTGTGGTCCCGCCTACTTTTCAGGGCAGACTTCCTATCCCAAAGGAAGTGAATCGCAAGAAAGGTGAAGAGACTGCAGCTGCCTCCCTGACGCCACGTGGCAGTGATGAGCTCCTCCCTGCAAGCATCCGTTACCTCTACTCTTTTTAATCGTGACACCTCCATTTGTATTACATATGGTGTATGGGTATTGATGAGATCATGGTATCATATATGGGATTTTTTTCTGTGTAAATCATCAAGTATACGAAGAAACTATGGGACTCTGAGCCTTGCTTTAGAGAATTTACAGTGGACAAATAGGTATCATCAAACCAGTTTTTAATCTTTCTGACTCAAGTGAAAACACTCAGAATTTCACACTGTGAATCCACGTTTACAACCCCCTACAGGTGGGCCTTCAGGCCTGGTTCGATACAACAATGTCTTCCACAACTCAAACTCCTACTGCTCTCTCATAACTGGTTCACTCCCTGCCTTTCCCTCCCACAGCTCCCCCGACTGCTTCAGGCAGAGGCTAAGAGTCCCCCTATTTTTTTTTTCATTTAGATGTAACAAGCGTAGTAGTTTATGTTCATCAATTGTCTGTATAGCTCTATATTTTATCCATGTACTCTTTTGATGTATAGAAGTAGTTTGAAACTCATTGTTTCCTTGTGGTAAGTGACTGAGATGCTGCCACAGGACCTGAGACACTGATGAATGGTGCTATTTTGGACTTTCAACATGCTCCTTGGCGAGGTAGCTCTGATGGAGTTATATTTTATTTCCATGTTCTAAGAGGGTGTTGGTACTTTGTTTCCCTGAATGTTGTTCTCTAGACTGGATTGACTCGTTTTCCTTGTGTCTTCAGCGTGGCTTTCTTCGTCAGTGTAGCAGGCTGAGTAAATGCTATCGGAGAGTGCACGGAGACCACCTCTCCAGGGTTGGCCTCACACACGTGCAATCGCTGTAGCGGGAGCAATCACAAAACTGTAATTTATTTACCCAAATCTCCTTCTTTCTGTAGCCTCGCCTACCTAACCCAGAGAAGGAAAAGCAATAATTTTACAGGCATTGTTAGGCATCTTTTGGGTTCGTTTTGTCTGAAAGGATATTTGAAAAAGGGGCAAACTCTTTGACAAACAATCACCGGGGGGAGGGGGCAGAAAAGCCAAAAAACCAAATCTGGATTCTTCTTAAGACTATGAAAAGTATACCATCCCCCAAAATTAAGCTGTAAAAATAACTTTATTATTATTATTTTTTAAAGCAGAGGACTCTTTAGGCATTTGTGATAAGCAAGGTATAGCATTTACATTTTTGTCCTTGCTCCCAATGAAATGGGTAAAATCAAATCAAATCTGAAAACACCATCAACTCATGGAATGTTGTTGTGTTAGCCAGTCTGAAAGCCCACCTTAATTTTTATATAACTGTCTTTTAGCTCTTCCTTTGACAGGGCAGGCCTTGTTCTGAACTGTCTGCTTCTGACTATTCAACCCCGATGATGCATGCACTGCCCTCCTCGTTCTCTCCTCCTCCTCCATCGACCTGAGTTTCTTGTGCATCTCCCCCCCACCTCTTTGTTAGAATAGGTCTATCAGCTGTGTAAATAGAGCAAGAAAACAGTATTTGCATCTGTGGCATTTATGTAGAACTGCAGTTGTGTACTGCTGAAAATGCAGGCTTTTGTAACAATGTGATCTTTACTGATGCACTCACAACAAGTACCCAATGTATTTTAGCTATTTTAATAGCATTTGTTCAATAAATATGCAAGCTGTAAGGTAACGCTCTCCATCTTGGCTCATTTATTGAAGAGGTTGACTGTTGAATGTCTTCACGGGTTCTCGCTAATTCATTTTCCCCCAGAGCCCCACAGGTGAGGCCCGTCCAGCCAGGGGAAACCCAGAAGGATCAGCCCGGCTGTTCATGCATTTTCTCCTCTGAGGGTTGTGTAAGGTTACAGGTTAGACTATGACTCATTGAGAGGACAGCTGCACGGCTGCATCGGAACAAAGAGGAGCGGTACACCAAGGCCTTCACTTTTTCTCCATTTCAAGGCAAGCCCATCTCAGAACATGGTCCTTCTCCCTCATTGTCAGTAAGACCAACTTTGTGATAGTCTCCCCGCACAACGAAAGCTACCTGACCTCCCTTCATGGATTATTTGGCATTTACACAGAGCAACTGGCAAGAGGAGAAACACTTTAGGTAGTAGAGTCGTTAGTACTGCAATCATTTGTACTCAGCAGATAGTAAGAAGGCACTGACATCCCCACACCTTCTAGAGGTCTCACCTCACCCTGAATTCATCGGACGAGGGTTCTCTCCTGGCAGGAGAACGGCACGCTAGTCTCTTCTCATCCATGATGGGAGTGAAACCTTGACTCAGACTACATTCAAGTTGCGAAAACTGAGGCTAGCACGGGGCAGAGCAGTGCTTTGTTCATCTCTCCCTGTGGTCCCTAGAGACAAAGCCACCTAACCACATCAACAACAAAAGCCAGGACAGGACGCATAGCCCCCAGAGGGGGAGGGGGGGGGCATACTGGCCAGGAAATGCTGGCTCTCAACGCGTGTGCCAGGAGGGATGTTTATGATCTGGGGTAATGAGATTCATTTGAAATTCATGTACACCTCATATTTGTGTTGCTTCCTCTTGACCCTGAACTTTTACCTTTATCAATAAGGGCAAAGCTAAATCCCAGCTGCCTGCCCAATAACGAGCATGTTCATCCTAACAGGAAATTTTTGGAAATGGAGGCTTTACCATTTCTTTTGGTTATCTCAGCTAAGGTTAAGAAGGAATTGTGATGAATTTCCAGGTGGGGGGAGCAACAAAAGTTTCTAACTGTATTTATCTTTCATCTTTCCATGCAATGCCTATTTTCCTCCCCAAGAGGCTCTCATTACTTACCGTATATACTCGAGTATAAACAGACCCGAAAATCAGCCGAGGCACCTAATTTTACCACAAAAACTGCATTAAAAATGTACAGAAAAACTCGGTTTATACACGAGTATATACGGGATATGATCTCTACATCAGGGGCAGGCAATCATTTTTCTGCTAAAGTCCACTTAGATATTTATAATATCAGAGGCCATGTAAAATTATTGATTTAAAATCTAGCTTGCTATTTTTGGTCAAGCAACTCATTAATCCATGATTTTGAAGGCATTTTCCTTTTTGCAGGCCGTTGTTACCCACCCCTGGATTACATCCTGCCTTAGAGCTTACTGAAAACCCAGGAACCGAGAACCACAAGGAGGCTAGGCCATGGGAGTGGGGTGATTTGGACAGCTTTATGCTCAATTGTATAAGTTAGCACCATAAATAAAACCACCACCAAACATTTCACCATAAAACAACAAACTTTTCTTATTTTACAAATTCTGGTGTCAGGAATTCCGAATTAGAATAGCTAGTGGTCGTGGCTGAGGGTCTCCCAGGAGTTGTAGGCAGCAATGTCCATGGAGTGCAGCCATCTGAAGATTCGACTGGGGTGGTGGATCCACTCCCAAGATGATACACATGAGACTGGTGACAGGAGGCCTCTGTTTCTCAACATATGGGTCTTTCTGTAGGGCTGCTTGAGTGTCCTCATGACCTCTGACTTTTGTCAGAGTGAGTAATTCAAGAGAGAGCTAGAGGAGAGAGCCATATTGTCTTTTATGACCTATGACATCACCACCATCTGTCATATGCTAGTTACTCAAAAATCACTGCATTGTTACACCTTTTACTTAAGGGCCTGTTAACCTCAGTTTGGCCTACCAATCGCTCTGAGAAAGACGAGTTGATCTGCTTTTTTAAAGATTGACAGTCTCGGAAGCTCTACGGAGCAGTTCTATTTTGTCCTGAAGGAACTGCTAGGAATTGGAATCTACTCAATAACGATGGATTGGGTCATTTTGCTTTCTTGAAGGGAGGAGTATAAAACAATTATCGACAGTTTTAAACCACTACGCCATCTGAAGTTAAGCTCAGGGACCTCAAGGCCGGGGTGGAAATGAGAAAGGTTGCAATCAAAACCATAGCTTCTTGCATGAGAAAGGTTTTCACACTCCTGAGCACCGAAGAATGGGGGTGTATGACGGGAGCATCTAGGAGCCACTAATGCCTCCACTAATCAAAGTTCCGGAGGCCTCCAGAGGCATAGGTCGAGATGTTATCGGAAACTGTAAAATCTGGAAAGCTGGAATGAGTGTCTGAGGTGCCATCCAATTTTATGAACTCTGGTTTAGCTGATTTCAACTCCCCCCATCCAATGAAATTTGGATAGTAGATGATTGATTGATTCGGCACTTTACTTAAGCGTGCAGAACTGACGAGTGAGAATCAGCTGTGGCCTTGTTGCAGGTTAACAACTCCTAAGATTCGAAGTTAACTGGAGTCAGAGCAGGAAGCCCAATTTTTGTTCTTGCGCCACAGGCAAATAGAACATCAGGTAACCTTTGGGTAGAAATTTACAACCAACAATCATGGACCAGACATAACCTGCAGACCGGTTTTGTTTTGCCTACAATGTGTTTTAGAAAAATGTTGATTTAATTGCCAATGTTTACAAATTGGAAGATTTCCTTCTGTCTATCCAGGTTTCTAGTTCCCTTGAGAAGTAGAACATCTGTCAACAGTGGGTCTGTGCTGAATACCAGCTCCCAACTTTGAAAGCCTGCGCCCTCTGTGACCCAGTCCTCACAACCTCGTGTTTTTATATCATGTCTGTTCCACTCATTTTCATTACTTGAAAATCCTGGTAATTAGCAATATAAATCCTCTAGTGTCAGGGGATTTTTCTATGTTTGTTTCCACCAAGGGGGTCGGTAAATCTTTTTGTTTGATATCTTGAGCTGATACAGCAGACTGGAAACAGAGGCTCCTCTTTGCTGATCCCAAAGCCAGACTTCCTGCAGTTCCATGGACACCTTCCAAGCCCTTTTCAAAATTTTACAGCTCTCCTGTGGCAGAAATCCCCACGGGGAAAAATTAGGTTCGCAAGAGGTTGATGGATTTATCTGATTCAGGTGTGATTGTCCATAGGGTTAAGGGCAATAGTAAAAGTTGTAGCTGTAAAAGGTGTAACTAAAAGTGGGGGAGGTGGTGGAGGTGGAGTTAATCCCTTGAGTATGAATGAGTCAATGCTGGAAGAGCCAGGGCATGGTCTAAAATGTCCTCAACATGGCCCTTCAAGCCACAGTCCTTATGGGAGCATTATAGATTCATGCCTCTATGCCTGTGCTTATAATATTTTGGAGGGAGTTCTTTGCTGTGCTAATAGAAAGATAGAGATGTATTCTGAGTCTTCACCTACTAGACAAACCAATTCACCACCTTTGGTTTCCTTGGTATGGTTTGCTGAAGGACCAAAAAAAAAAAGACACTTTCCTCAGGCCCTTGCTCTGTGTCTAAGAGCCATGGCAGATGAAGAGAGAGAGTCCCAGGGTCATCCAGGAAGAAGAGCCATCAACGGAGCACACTGGAGATCTCTACCTAAAGTGGCGGAGGCCAAGACCAGACGCCAGCCATGGAGCCCATAGGACAAGGGAAAGGAGCCAGGCTGAGACCAGAAGCCAAGGCAAGAAGACCTTGAGACAGGCCATGAGAAACTGAGGCAGAGCAGTGGGCTGACTTCTTGGCTCAAGACCAGAGAGAGAGACCTGGCTCTGGCTAAGGAAAGGTGCTGATTTGTGCCAGTGGCTGTACCTTTCATGTTTCCTGATCCTGGCTTGTGGTAATTTACCAACGTCCCTAAATTGCTGTTGTCAGGGGCCATGGAGTTGGTCCACCCTCACAGGGACCCCGTGCACACCAGAGGCCTCACATGAACTATGTCTCCACTGACTCTCTCGAACCATCGTTCAGTTATGTGAAGAGGGTTCTCCTCAGAGTGAACTGGAAAATAGATTATGGCAAATATAGTTAGCTTAAAATTTAACTTCTTATTATTTATTTTCCCTCTTGACCCATTTTCACTTGTTCTAGTATGTACTTTTTTGCTTTGCTTTGTATTGAAGCTTATCTGTGTTTTATTTTCTTGTCGGTAAATTTTTTTGATGACTTATTTATATGAAATCCAGGGTAGGTAAGTTTATAGACAGTAACTAGATTAGTGAATCCATAACAATAGGTATAAGAATTTTTTTAAAAAAGCTAAAAAATGATTGTGGTGATGATTATGGAACTCCTTTTATTATATTTAAACCATTGAATTGTATCATACATGAAGTATATGACAATAAAATGGTTAAAAATAGAATTTGGGGCAAAATCACATTGAACTTTAGGAGTCTAGCAAATGGTGATAATGAGAGTTTAAAATGTG